CTCTAATCTTTATTATTTCTTTCCTTCTGCTTGCTTTGGGTTTAGTTTGTTCTTCTTTTTCTAGTTTCTTAAGATGAAAGGTTGTTATTGATTTGAGATCTTCTTTGGAGCCCTGGTAGCACAGTTGTTAAGTGTTCAGCTGCTAACCATAAGGTAGGCAGCTGGAATCCACCAGCTGCTCCTTGGAAACCCTAGGGGGCAGTTCTACTCTGTCCTGTAGGGTCGCTATGGGTCGAAATTGACTCGACGGCAATGGGTTTGTTTGGTTTGGTTCTTAATATAGGTATGTACAGCTATAAATTTCCTCCTAAGCACTGCACTCACTGCATTCAATAAGTTTTAGTATTTTGTGTTTTTGTTTTCATTCACCTCAAAGTGTTTTCTAATTTCTGTTGTGATTTCTTCTTTGACCCATTGGTTATTTATGAGTGTGTTTTTAAAATTCCATGTATTTTGTGACTCTCACAGATTTTCTTCTGTTAATGATTTCTCATTTCATTCCACTGTAGTCAGAAAACATACTTTGTGTGATTTTTAATCCTTTTACATTTATTCAGACTTGTTTTATAGTGTAACATATGATCCATCCTAGAGAATGTTCCATTTGCACTAGAGAAAAATGTTTATTCTGCTGTTGTTGGTTAGAGTGTTCTATAGATGTCTGCTAGGTCTAGTTTGATTATAGTGTTATTCATGTCATCTATTTCCTTGTTGATCTTCTGTCTGGTTATTCTAAATGTGGGGTATTTAAGTCTCCAACTATTGTTGAAATTTCTATTTCTACCTTCGATTCTGTCAGTTTTTGCTTGATGTATTTGAGACTCTGTTGTTAAGTGCTTAATGTGACTCAGCAGTGCAGTATGGTTAATTTAAGTACATTAATGGAAACACGAAATAGAAGGAGTGTGTGGTATAGTCCCTTTGTTTGGGCAGACCACACCTGGAGTGTTGCTTATATTTCAGCATCATGCTTGAAAGGGTATTTACTAATTAAGAGCACTCTTGGTTGGCGGGGCAATATGAAGAACATTGGAATATTTATTACTTGACAGATTTATGCGGCATCATAGCGGTCTTAACACATTAATGTGGGAAAGATTTGTATGCATACTACAAGTAGGTGGAAACGACAGGGAGACAGACTTTAGTTCTGTGTTCAAATTGAGCTATCCAAAGGAAGAAGCTAAGCGTGGCAGTGAGTTCTCACCATCTAAGGGTCAAGCATAGACTGATAGACTATTTAAGTAAAATGCTGTAACAAAATGAGATAAGGTCAAGGCTCCTTCCCAACCTTGACATACGTTTTTGTGTAACACAGAGTTCTGCCAAAGTAAATGTAGTCCAGCATGTTCTAAGCACCAGTAGAGTTTAAATTATGGGAACTCAGTCTGATGTGACTGATAACTGAAGGAGCAGAAGAGTGTGCATAGAGTTGCCCACTGAGGGATACAATATGACTGATTTTAATAAATAGGACAGGATGATTAGGACAACAGTTTCTGTGGACCTTCCAGAGGTTTGTGCCTCTAGCTTTGTGTGCACATCAGCAAATGAGAATCCTGTGTGTTGACTATCAAGTTCTAGGAATGTTTTTGGCCATCTTGCCTATTGAACTTTTCAGCCACAGACATCTGTAGAAAATAGCATAAACAGAAGCTTGGCCTGGGACTTTCTACTGATCTGTATATTTATTAATTGCCCTTGAGGAAGCCAACTGTGAAGGCATGTAATTATGACATGCTAAAACTAGAAGAGTCATCTAATTCAGTGCTTCTCAAACTTTAATGCACATTCAGATTGTCTGGGGGCCTTGTTAAAATGCAGAACCTCATTCACTAGGATCAGTTGAGCCTAAGGTTTCCCATTTTTAAAAGCTTCCAGTTGATGACAATGCTGATGGTTCAGGACTGCCCATAGAGTAGCAAGGCTCTAGTTCATTGGGTATCAGAGTCATTTGTGAGGTTTTCTAAGCCCATGGCAGGGATTTTGATGTGCTCCTCCCTTGAGAATCAGTGCTGCAGTGAGTCACTATGACTTAAATGGGTGTGTGTTGTTTCCATCGGATAAAAGGGAGCCACAAAAAGAACTACTGAACAAGTCCAACCCTCTCATTTTACTGATGAGGAAATTGAGGCCCCAAAGAGGTGATATTTCTTTCATAGGATCATACAGTAAGTTAATCAACACAAACAGATGATTAATATCAAGAAGATTAAAAACAGGTAGGTGGAGATAGTCTTTCAGAATATAAGGACTAATTTTAGCAAAGATTATCTTTGATTATCTTGTTAACAAGAAACAGGAGCAATAAGGGGTTTTTTTTGTGCGTGTGTGCGCGCGTGTGTGGTGCCTGTCTGTGTAGTTAGATTTTCTGGACTAACTCCTTTAACAGATTTCTACAGAGAGAAACATTACTTAAGTGGATTTCTCTTTATTACTCTTGAGTTGTTGTTGTGTGCCGTCAAGCCAATTCCGACTCATAGTGACCCTCTGTGACAGAGTAGAACTGCCCCATAGAGTTTCATAGGCTGAAGTCTTTACAAGAGCACATCACCAAGTCTTTTCTCCCATGGAGCTGCTGGTGGGTTCGAACCACTGACCTTTTGGTTAGCAGCCAAGCGCTTAACCACTGTGCCAGCATGGCCCCTTTACTGTTGTGTAAAGCTAAAACCCACTGCTGTTGATTCAATTCCAACTCATAGCGACCCTATGGGACAGAGTAGAACTGCCCCGTAGGGTTTTCAAGACTGTAAATCTTTACGGAGGCAGACTACCACATCTTTCTCTCATGGAGCAGCTGGTGGGTTTGAACCACCAACCTTTTGGTTAGCAGCTGAACGCTTTAACCACTGTACCACCAGGGCTTCTTTACTCTTGAGTAGAAGTACTGATTTCTGAAATGGCATATAGATGCCATCTATATTATATAGATATAGATAATCAAAGGGTTGTTTAAGACTGCTGATTATTAGTAAATGAGGATTGAGTAAATGTTCATGATACTCTTGTACAAGTAAGTGTCATCATACTAGTTAAGTGGTGTTTTATTACAAGGTCATTTTAGTACTTTTGGTAATTTCTTTCACAATCAAGAACAACTCATTTCATGTCCATTTTATACTCTAGGAGCTATTACAGCAAAAAGTGCAGAATAGACTTATGTATGAGTTGTTGGTCTCAAGTCATTCCCAACATAAAGTAAGCTTTCTTTTATATAGGTTTCTGTTAGTTTTGTTATTTTTAGTCTCACATTAAAGCTCTTAGGTATCACTGAAAAATCTCTGTATGAGAACTGGTTGGGTTTTTTTTTGTTGTTGTTGTTGTTTTTGGTAAAAATATAACATTTGCCAATTCAGCACTTCTACATGTACAATTAGTGATTCTAATTACATTAATCATGTTGTGCAACCATCACCAATATCTGTTGCCGAATTTTTCATTGAACAGAAATTCAGTACTTCCTAAACAGTGACTCCCCTTTTCCCACACCCTCCCACACCTGGTGGCCACTAAGAAACTTTGGTGTATGACAGCTCTTTTGTTTCTCGTATTGGATAAAAGCTTTGATCTGTCAGAAAACCAGGAAATTCTGAGGTAGATTTCTACTTTCCCCAAAATTAGGTGCAGTGTAACGTAATTAACACTAAAATAATGTACTTTATTTTTCCTTCACTTATTCAGGAAACATTCAGGGTTCTGCTGTATGAACATTAGTCATTTACTTTAGAAAGATAAACCGTGTCTTGGTCAGGTGATTGGTTCACAGAGCAGAGTGACTCACTGTCACTCTGAGCTATCTGACTTCGCTATCACTGTTAAGTAAAAGAGCCCTGTGCCTCTGAAGGTTATTAAAATATTCTCACATGGGAAATTAGCAGTCTTGAAGAGTTATAATGAAGAGCCATGTGCTTTTGAAAGAACTTTGATTTGAAAACCAATTAATATAATTGTTTTTACTGTAGTCATCCACATTGTTTCTTTAGTCCAGTGCTCTTGCTCTCTTCCCCACCAAGGGGATTGGCATCATGATCCATCTCATCCTCCAAACCAGAAATGTGGACGTCTCTTGCCATTTTCCTTTCTACCTCTTTCCTTGCATCCATTTAGTTATTAAGTCCTAAAATTCTGACATTCTACCCCCAGGACATCTCTCAAAGCTGACTCCTCTACTCCATACAGTAGCCATTGCTCCATTTCTGTCCCTTATTACAGTGAAACCCACGAAAGCCGGAACTTGTGTAAGGTGGAAACCTGTCAGAGAAGGAAAACCTAAATATTTTTCACTAAAATGAGTGATAGAAAAGCGGTAAGTGTGCACCCTGTCAAAGGCAGAAAAATTGCAAGACTCAGAAAAAACAAGGCAGTCCCACTGAGCTCCGGCTCTCACAGGTTTCACCGTGTTTCTGTCCTCAACTGTTGCAGTAGACCCTCAATTGTTGCTTGGCTTTGAATTTTCACACCCTTCTGATCCATCTTCAACAGCGCGGCTAGAATGGCTTTTCTAAAATTGGTCTCTATACCTTTGGCTACTATAGATAGTTTATATGTGGGATCATACGCTATTTGTCCTTTTGTGACTGACTTATTTCACTTAACATAATGTTTTCAAGGTTCATCCATGTTGAAGCATTTATCAAGACTTCATTTCTCCTTATGGCTGAGTAATATTCTATTATATGTACATACCATAATATTCTGTTATATATGTATACCACATCCACTCATTTTTGTTTATCCGCTCATCTGTTGATGGACAGTTAGATTGTTTCCACCTTGTGGCTATTGAGAATAGTGCTGCAATAAACGTTGGTGTACAAGTATCTGTTTGGGTTCCTGGTTTCAATTCCTTAGGGTATATACCTAGGAGCAAAGAACCAGCAATGTTACCCACCATTGCTTTCACACCGTCAGTGCAAATGTCAACACAGTGAAGTTATACTGAATTTTAAAATGTGCTCTTTCCAGTAACCAGTCTTTATCCTCTCCCCATTTGGCTGCAGATCCTAATTATCTCATGGCTAACGAACGCATGAACCTGATGAACATGGCCAAGCTGAGTATCAAGGGCTTGATTGAATCAGCTCTCAACCTGGGGAGAACTCTGGACTCCGACTACGCACCTCTCCAGCAATTCTTTGTGGTGATGGAGCACTGCTTGAAACATGGCTTGAAAAGTAGGCCATAGCCCCAAAATGGAAATGTGCATGCAGCTGCTTCCTAGCAATATAGACTTGTGAAGGAAAGCATCCTTTGGGAGTCAAAGAATAAGAGGATTGGATTGGTAATATTAACCCACGGGAATGCAACCTATGTGGAAGGCAGGATATTTGTCTGTTTTTCTTCACTGCTGTGACTCCAGCACCAGCTACACAGTATGGGCTCAGTAAATATTTGTTGAATTAGTGAGTAAGTGCTCAGTGGATAGCTGTTGGATATATAATTTAAATGATTCAGGTAAAACATGCTCATCTTTACTGAGATTACAGAGGGCTTTCTACACTATACACTTCTTTGTTGTATTGCTTTTGTTATTCAAACTTTTTTTTTCAAAACGACATACAAGTAGTCCCTGACTTACAACAGGGTTCCATTCTGACGACACTGTCTTAAGTCGGTTCTGATGTAGTTGAATACCTTTTTTTTTTTTAGTTTTCTTTATTATTGCCTTTTATTATCAGTATCTTTATAAATCCAGTCTTTGAACATCTACGAGTGAACATCTGAGAATGATGACATCAAAAAATTACAGTAGTAAGTTAAGTGTAGTTGTAACTCGACTATGTCGTAAGTTGGGGACTACTTGTAATTTTTAAAATCATGTCTCCATATTCAAGTTATAGGTAGTATCTTAGTGATTTGGACATGTAATGTGGAATCACTGACTCTTTTTGTTGTTCAACATCCTAAGGTTTAAAACCCCTTGTTTCAGACTTCTAGATTGTTTCGACATGTCTAATAGAAGCTCTAATTTGAATAATGCATATGGAGGATATATTTGCTTGCTTATCTGCTACTCTCTTGGGTTAAGAGGAGAAATTACAGAAAATTTAGAAAATAAGGATATTGCTACTATTGTAAATTGACCATCATGACCATTTTTTTTTTTACCAGCCGTAAGCCAAGTGTTTGGCAGTGATCAGCAAGCCTTTTCTCACTACGTAGTTATACTCAGGATGCAAACACAGTCTTACCTTCTGTTTTTTTACAACAAGCATTTAGCATTTTCTTTGTTGCTACAGTGCACATAACTCTTACTTTCAGTGTCTCATGGAATAAATATACTATTATTTTGATTCCCCATTATTGCACATTCAGGTGGGTGTGGATTTTACAAGAATTTTTTTTCATTTGAATTATTTACTAGATATCTCAGTTTATTTATTGATGACTCCTTTCACGTCATTGATCTTTTCAAACAAAAGCTTAGATATTTATTCTTTAAGGAAAACGTGGAATCTAAAAATCTGATTTAAAACTTTTAAATGGATGTCAGAAGAGACTCTGAAACTTGCTCTTGAGTATAGAGTAACTAAAGCAAATGGCAGAAATGATGAAGTAAAAGATATGAACAGAAGATTTCAAAGGGTGGCTCGAGAAGACAAAGTAAAGTATTATAATGACACTTGCAAAGACCTGGAGTTAGAAAACCAAAAGGGAAGAACAAGCTCTGCATTTCTCAAGGTGAAAGAACTGAAAAAAAATTCAAGCCTCGAGCTGCAATGCTGAAGGATTCTATGGGCAAAAAATTGAACGATGCAGGAAGCATCAAAAGAAGATAGAAGCAATACACAGAGTCACTGAACCAAAAAGAATTGGTTGACATTCAACCATTTCAGGAGGTAGCATATGATCAAAAACCGATAGTGTTAAAGGAGGAAGTCCAAGCTGCACTGAAGGCACTGGTGAAAAACAAGGTTCCAGGAATTGACGAAATACCAGTTGAGATGTTTCAACAAATGGATGCAGAGCTGGAAGTGCTCATTCGTCTATGCTAAGAAATTTGGAAGATAGCTACCTGGCCAACCAGCTGGAAGCAATCCATATTCATGCCTGTTCCAAAGAAAGGCAATCCAACGGAATGTGGAAATTATGGAACAATATCATTAATATCACACACAAGTAAAATTATGCAAAGGATAATTCAAAACCAATTGCAGCAGTACATCAACAGGGAACTGCCAGAAATTCAGGCCAGATTCAGAAGAGGATGTGGAACTAGGGATATCATTGCTGATGTCAGGTGGATCTTGGCTAAAAGCAGAGAATACCAGAAATATGTTTACCTGTGTTTTATTGACTATGCAAAGGCATTCGACTGTGTGGATCATAACAAGTTATGGATCAGATTTTGAAGATTGGGAATTCCAGACTTAATTATGCCCATGTGAAACCTGTACATAGACCAAGAGGCAGTTGTTCAGACAGAACAAGGGGATGCTGTGTGGTTTAAAATCAGCGAAAGTGTGCATCAGGATTGTATCCTTTCACCATACTTATTTAATCTGTATGCTGAAGAACGCAACATTACAGTTAGAGGAAGAAGACTCATTAACAGCCTGTGATTATGCAGATGAACACAACCTTGCTTGCTGAAAGTGAAGAGGACTTAAAAGTACTTACTGATGAAGATCAAAGACTACACAGCTTTAATATGGATTACACCTCAACATAAAACAAAAATCCTCGCAACTGGACCAATAAGCAGCATCATGATAAACAGAGACAGTATTAAAGTTGTCAAGGATTTCATTTTACTTGGAAGCAGTAGTCAAGACATCAAGTGATGTATTGCATTGAGCAAATCTGCTGCAAAAGACCTCTTTCAAGTATTAAAAAGCAAAGATGTCACTTTGAGGACAAAGGTGCACCTGACCCAAGGCATAGTATTTTCATTCACCTCATGTGCATGTGAAAGCTAGACAGTGAATAAGACGACCGAAGAAGAATTGATGCCTTTGAGTTGTGGTGTTGGTGAAGAATATACCATGGACTGCCGGAAAAGGGAACAAATCTATCTTGGAAGAAGTACAGCCAGAATGCTCCTTAGAAGCGAGGATGGCGTGACTCGTCTCACATACTTTGGACATGTTATCAGGAGTGACCAGGCCCTGGAGAAGGACATCATGCTTCGTAAAGTAGAGGGTCAGTGAAAAAGAGGAAGACCCTCAACAAGATGGACTGACACAGCGGCTGCAACAATAGTCTCAAACAGCAACGATTGTGAGGATGGTGCAGGACCAGGCGGTGTTTCGTTCTGTTGTACATAGGGTGGCTATTAGTCAGAACTGACTTGACAGCACCTAACAACAAACAACAACAAGAGGTTATTATTTACTTTACAAAAATATTCATCCTCCAAATGTATATTAATAGCAAGTTCCATTAATTTGTTTCAAATATACCATTTTTTCACATTATCAGAAACACATTTTTTAAAATGACATGAGGTACACATTAATGATGATGATACTTAACATTATTTTATCAGATTTTAAAACCATGTAAATCTCAAATGTTCATCACAAGTAAAAAGATAAAAGACAAAAAGTTGGAAACTGCTTTTTTTAAAATCACTTTACCACCTACCTTGGCTATTCCTACAGTCATTTGTCTTAGACAAAAATATGGTTGATATTATAGGACTTAAAAAACAGATCATTCAGTGTTAGAACTGGAAAGGCCATTAAAAGTAATCTAGTCCAGTACAGCAGTTCCATTTTACAGGTGGAAATAGGCCTAGCACCTTGACTTGCTCAAGGTCACACAGCAGGTTAGAGCAGAGCAAATGCTAGAACTCAGATCTCCTGATTCTCACTTCCGTGCACTTTCCACTTAACCATAAGCCTTTTGAGGGGAGGACATGGTCTTGTTTGTCTTAACTTCCTTTCTTCCTCCCTTCCCTGTATTTGCTAGTCTATTTCTGGATTACATAATCTCTTCTATTGGACTGTCTTCTTCACTAATACCATATGGTTTTAAGTACTATATTGTTACAATGGTTTAGTCCACAAATTCTCCCTGAAAGTGGAAGGATTGAGTCTTAAGAATTAGGGATTTTTTTTTTAATTTTCACAGATGTCATCTATTTTGAAAGCGTGACTAATTTTAGTATTGTCTGATATCTAGGGTTAGTTCCCTAAGAAGGTCATTGAATAGATGGGAAGTATGTGTGTGTATTGAGGAGATGTTTATGTTATAAAGAATATTGAAATAAAATATTGCTTTGTTTTTGTTGCCTTAGCCAAGAAAACTTTCCTTGGACAAAATAAATCCTTCTGGGGGCCTCTAGAGCTGGTAGAAAAGCTTGTTCCGGAAGCTGCAGAGATAACAGCAAGTGTTAAAGATCTTCCAGGACTTAAGTAAGTTTAAGGTTTAATTCTATTTCTTAGGAAAATCAAAAGAGTAACTGTCTCCTTGAAGAGTGAGACTAAAGATAACAATGATTGCAATAGTTTATTACATAATAATAAAAAATGTATAATAATATTATTAATAGTTATGAGAGAATTGGAAATATTAAAATATTCAAAAAAGTATGCCCTTGAGGGATAATTAATTGTTAATCTGAGAGAGGTTGTCTTGTTGAAATACCAAGCATTTCTTTCTTTTTTTTAAGGTACTAGAGAGAATTAGTTAGTGAGTCTCAAGAAATTAGATCTAGGGAGGTGGCCTGCTGGACTTGACTTAGGAAAAAGGATATTTTAGGTGTGGTTTGAGAGCCAGAGTAAAACTGTTGCCGAGTGGACCTCAGGAATTAACACCTAGAACTTACCTTAGAACTTGAAAAGGAGTTTAATCAGATAGAAGTGTAAATTGACTGTGTCTGCATTAGTGTCTGGATATTTATATAGAACATTTTTTGTTGGGCCTTCAGTAGATCTTGTCTTCAAATTATAGTCTCATTTAGTAGTTAATTCTCTGCAAGAGCATTTGTCCTGAACACACCTCTGGGTCTTGGCAGCCAACAGGGAATTCCTCATGTAGGAGTATTGTTGGAAAGGTGGTGAGAAACCCCTCTGGGTGCATGTTACACTGGGAGACCATTAGTCAGAGTAAGTGAATCCGTATTTCACTGTGGCCTCTGCCTCTGTTGCTTGTATTTTTAGTTGTTTAGTTTCTGTGCTTTTATAGGACGCCGGTAGGCAGAGGAAGAGCCTGGCTTCGTTTGGCATTAATGCAAAAGAAACTCTCAGAATATATGAAAGCCTTGATCAATAAGAAGGAACTCCTCAGGTAAGAATGCCTTCTTGTTGAATTTTCTTCCTTTTTTAGTATGTTGTTCATACCAAACCATGTAAAACTGCCATTTTTATAGGTCAGAAATAGTTTAATAGTGACAATTACATATATTTCAATCCTATATATTCTCTCATACTTCACACACTCATACTCCTGAATGATGTTTTTATATTACTTATCATGCCATCTGTCACTGTGGCATATACATAGCCCTTTTTGCAAAGAGACCAAAACTTAACACCTCCAGAAAACAGTAAAGACTTTTGACCCTTAGCATGTGCCCAGGCTCAGCAAGACAGGACGTTGGCATATAGTATTAAATTCAAATAGCACACACAGTTGTGTGTTTTTATGAATACAAATGTGGAAAGTAAAACAATGAAACTTTTAGAAGAAAACATAGGAGAACATATTTATGACTTAGGATAGGCAAAGATTTTTTAAGCAGGACTCAAAAAACACTAACTTTAAGGGAAGCAATTGATGTTAGTCCACATTAAAATGAAGAACTTCTGTTCATCAAAACCACTGTTAAGATTAAGAGTGAAAAGGTAACCCAGAGATATTTGAAATATCTGTATCCAAAAAGAGACTCATGTTCAGAATATATAAAGATCTATAAACCATTTTAAAAAAAGGCAGAAAAGCAAATATAAAAATGGATAGACTTGAACAAGCATTTTACAAAAGAGGAAATCCAAGTGACCAGTAAACATGTAAAAAGATACCCAACTTCACTATCCATCACAGAAATGCAAATTAAAAAAACAATGTGATACCACTACACGTGCACCAAAATGGCTAAAATTAAAAAGATAATACCAAGTGTTGATGAGGATGTGAAGTAAGTTTAGTGCTCTACTGATGGGAGAATTAAGTGGTACAGAAACTTAGGAAAATGTTTGGCATTATCAAAGTTCATCACAAGCATACTTTATGACCTAGTAATTCCAATTTCTAGTTATTAGAGCCAATAGAAATGCATGCTTATGTTTAACAGAAGACATGAACATGAATGTTCATAGTATTACAATGTTGTAACAGTCCCAAATAGCAACCCAAGTGTCTGTCCGCAGTAGAATGGATAAGTAACTTGTGGTATATTCATAATGAAATACTGTTCAGCAATTACATGTAGCGACATGGATTAATCTCTCAAACATAATACTGGGGAAAAGAAATCAGACCCAAAAAGTATGTAGTTTATTGTTCCACTTACATAAAGTTTAGAAACATACAAAACTAATCTTTGATGTTAGAAGTCAGGAAAGAAGTTACCTTTGGTGGGGCAGGGGTGGTAAGTAGGAATTAAATGGAATTCTGGGGGTCTGGTAGTATAATTGTTTCTTAATCTGGGGGCTGGTTACATGGGTGTGTTCTCTTTATGAAAATAGATCTAGCTGTAATTTAGGATTAGTGTACTTTTATATATCTTATGGGTCATTAAATTTTACCAAAAGAAATATAGCAGATGGTCTCTGAGAATAATATAAGAGGAAGAACAAGTAACAGAGAATTTAAAGAAAAGGCTAGGTTTGAAAGAATCTAGTCTTTGTGAGAAATTGTACTGCAGGTCCTAATGGAGCATCGTTTTAATGTTACTGCAACTGCATATGTCATTGGTTGCTATTTTTTGGCCTGAGAAAACTTTACAAACCAGGAGAATGAGAAATAGGAACCGTTCAGGGGAACTTTTTTATTTTCCCTCCACTTTCCAGGGGTTAAGCCTTGAGGGTCGGTAGGGTCTAATGTTCAAGCTTGTAGGCGACTGCAAGGAAGTGTCCCTGATCAAAATTGTGTGATGCAAATTGGGGTCTGGAAAATTAACTCTTAGCCCAGCAGAGCACAAGAGTAAATGGATTCAGTCTTGTGATCTAGGCAGATCAGTTCTTTGTATTCAGTTTCACTCCTAGGTATGTTTAACAGAAATGCATATGTATATGTACAAAAAAAAAATATTAAAAAATATTCAGAGTAGCATTATAGCCTGCATGTACTGAAAACAACCTAGGTATCATCAGCAATAGAATGGCTACATTGTGGTATATTCCTACCATGAAATACTCTCCATCAGTGAAAATGAATGAACTACAAACTATATATGAATCTCACAAATAAAATATTGTACAAATGAAGCCAGACACAAAAGAGTATGTGCAGTATGATTCCATTTATATAAAGTTCAAATACAGGCAAAACCAGTCTATGGTGTTAGATAGTGATTGGGGGAGGGCAAGAGTGAATTCTAGGGTTCTGGTAATGTTTTCTTTCTTGATCAAGATAATGATTACGCAGGTGGATGTATTATCTTGTGAAAAGTCATGGAATGGTTCTTTTAGAATTTGTATATTTTTCTGTATTTCTATTAAATACCAAATTAAAAAAATTAAAATGTAGACTGTGCCATCAAGGAGCTCATAGTCTGACATTTTGTTTTTGGAGTGTCTGAGATGTGTAATGTTGGGATGCAGTCTTGCTCATCTTCTAAGCAGGTACCCAGACAACTTTTTAGATGAGACTTTTGGGAGAATGAACTGTTAAAGAACCTTCGTTCCAGTTCTACTCAGTTTCTTTCAGAGGCTACCAAAGAACAAAAATATTCAGAGAACTGGTAAATTTGGAAATCATTTCACATGCTGTTGCTTGTGTGTTTGAACTGTTTTACCAGTTGTTCATATCTTTTATAGAAAATCAAAAAAGAAAGGAGAGAAACTAAAATCAGTGAGTTGTACTGATTGTTATCAATGATTGAGGTTAACCTTGAACAAATCCCAGTTGGCTTTGTGGAAAGCAAAAGATTGAAGTGCTGTGTCAATCATGATGTCAAATTGGTTGGAAATGAATATTTAAGTCACTGGATTTTTTGTGTATTAGTAATTTTGGTACATCTTGGAACAATTTTTAATCATCTGTGGGTCTTTTAAGAATTTTTATCCAGAAATCTCCAAGTACTTTGTTCCTCTTTTGCATTTTTATTTCTAAGTCATTTTAAACCTGTTACACCTGCCCTGTGGGTCTATAGTGGTAAAAAGACAAAACAGCCTAATTGTTCATCAGAAAGGGAGCAGCTAAGTAAATTTACAGTACATCCATACAGTGGGATGTAATCAAGCCAGTATAAATGAAATGCAGTTGCAGAAAATTATCTATTGAAATAAAAAGATATTCAAAATACTGTTAAGCCAAAAAAAAAAAAATTCAAGATAGTTTTAATGGTATAATCCCTTTTTAGTGTCTCTCAAAAATATATATGTTGTTGTTGTTACTTGCTGTTGAATCGACTGCGATTCATGGCAGCCTCGTGCACAATGGGGATCAGACCTTTGTGACCCATAGGATTTTGATTGGATAATTTTCAGAAGTAAATTGCCAGGCCTTTCTTCCTAGTCCGTCTTAGTCTGGGAGCACCACTGAAACCTGTTCAGCATCATAGCAACATGGAAGCCTCCAGTGACAGAAGGGGTGGCTGTGCATGAGGTACACTGACCAGGAATCTAAATGATCTTAAAGGTTATATACCAGCAAGTCATGGGTAGATGGAATTACAGGGTTTCTTGTTTCTTTTTACTTGCCTGTATTGTATTTACTTTTTTTTTTTTCTATAATGGAAAATGATTTTATTAAATAGTAAAAGAAAGTAATACTTTAACATTTTAAAATTATCTTAAGCCTATTATACATGTTGCTTTTTAGGCAACTTTTGCTAATTAGTCAAAGATAAATATATGTAATTTAACTGTTCATACTTACTGCTAAAATGTTTGTTCACTGTTTTAAAAGAATGTGGTACTTAAATAGAATTTAAATTAAAGCAAATCAGAAATAAGGCAGTTTTTTTAAAACTAACAAAGAAAATTTTAAAGATATATAAAAGGTTACAAAATTCTGCCAGGGTACATAACATACAAATATGTGAAAAAAGCATGAGCAGAAATACTCACTTCCAGCCAAAATACCATTCTGGTTTTCTTTCAGCCAGACTGTCTGTCATCTAGAAAGTCTGTTCATGTACCTGTTATCTAAAGTATTTATCCAAGCCATTCTTTTTTTTTTTACTTTTTCACTGTTGCCATAGATGATCATATTCGCTAATGAGGCAAGCCTTTTTCCCTTTGTCTCATGATTACATTATTAGATTACGGAGGTTTTGTCACTACCACAGAGCATTTGTGGATTTCTCTTACAGTGAATTCTATGAACCCAATGCCCTCATGATGGAAGAAGAAGGAGCCATAATTGCTGGTCTGTTGGTGGGTCTGAATGTCATTGATGCCAACTTCTGTATGAAAGGAGAAGATTTGGATTCTCAGGTATGGGAAGGATACTCCGTTACCAAGTGTGTCCCTCTGAGTTCTGCTGTTACCAGAATTTGGATTGATTTAATCATAACAACCAAATTAGGGAAAACTTTGTGAATCATAAATAGGGTTTCCTTTCATTTTGAGGTGCACATGAAAAATTAGATTATTTGCTTTTATTCCAACTTGGCATATTTATGTGTTATGAATATTTTTAAAATTCTTGTCTTTACTGTGAAACATACATATGTATAGGCTAAAATGTATGCACAGACTGAAATATATGCACAGGCTAAATACAAAAAGCCAGTATTGTATAGTAGCTAAGAATGAATGCTCTGAAGCCAAACTGCTTGGGTTCAAATTCTGGCTCTTTCTCATTTGCTAGCTGAGTATATTTTGCAATTACTTAATTTCTTTTTGCTTTAGTTTGCTTGGCTGTAATATAGGGATCAAAAGAGTATCTGTTTCATAGGGTTATTGTGAGGAATAAAAGATTTGGTACATGTAATGCATTTAGAACAGGACCTGACACATATTAATTGCTCAAAAAGTGAAGCTTCTGTTTTCACTACGAATATTTCTCACCCCTTCTGTATGAAATAACAATAAATTTCTGTTATGTTTTACTCTGGGAAAGTGGAAAAAGAAGTATGATATTTTGATCTGGATTTATTTTTGTAATTTAATTTTTAAAACTTATTCCTAAAAATGAATATAGTAGCAGAATACCTGAAATAGGCAAATAACGTGAAAGAAGCAAGAGAAAGACATTTAGATCTTATTTGTACTAAGTATTCTGTTGACCATTTGCCTTAGCCATGATCTAGTCTTCTATTTCTATTGACTTAAAGAAACTTTAGATCTTATTTATGTTAAATATTCTGTTGACTGTTTGCCTTAGCCATGATCTGCTATTCTTTTCCTACCCTGGTGGTGCAGTGGTTAAGCGCTCGGCTGCTAACTGAAAGGTTGGCGGTTTGAACCTACCAGCCACTCCACAGGAGAAAGATGTGGCAGTCTGCTCCTGTGAAGATTTACAGCCTTGGAAACCCTATGGGGCAGTTCTGCTGCGTCCTACAGGGTCACTGTGAGTCGGAATTGACTCGATCACAGTGGGTTATTGACGTTTAATCTTGATTCTTTTACTTACTTCTAGCCCTTGTCAATTCTTGATTATATTAGAAGTAAAACAGTTTTTCATCACAAATTTCTAGAACTGTCATGATTATATTACTATTTTGAGTGCCTTAAAATAGATACTGTGTTATGCCTTAGAAAACTTACCAGTTTTTATACTAAATTCTGAAAATTTTCTCTATAGGTTGGAGTTATAGATTTTTCAATGTATCTCAAGGATGGAAACAGCAGTAAAGGTAGTGAAGGGTATGTAGAAAGAAAGCTGGATTTCTTTTTTTTTTTCTCTGATGTCTTTGGTAGAATTTAATAATATTTTATAAGACTTGCTGAAAGAATTTCTGACAATGAAGCTTTAATAGAGTCTTGCCAAAAATATCTGACTACTATGGCTACTACTAAACTCTAAGAGGGTTTTCAGTTGAGTGATTTTCCTGTTATGCAGTTCAGGTGCAAAAAAAAATAAAAATTTTTATAAAAGGAATTCAGTTCTGACCTCTTAAGGTAGTGTTTGGAAAATGAAATAAAAGATCTTATTCACCAGAGGGATCGCATTCTCAATTTGCTTAAAATTCTTAGTACTAAATATGCATCATCAGGTTATGTACAATGTTAACATTAGCGCAAGCTGAGTGAAGTGTATATGAGAACTCTCTACTGCCTTTAAAACAATTCTGTAAACATTAAAAGTTTCAAAAAATGCATTAGAGTGCTTAGAAATTAGAGATCACAAATACACTTTATACCCTTTGTATAAATTTAGCAGTTGAAAGCATAATTAGTTTGATATTTTTAACACTGGTCATTGAGCTAGAGATGATATCATTTGGTATTTTGGTAGTTGTATGGGTAAGTGGCCTTGATTTTGTCTTTCATTTTTGAAATGTCTGACCGTTTAACTTCTATCTATTACAGATTAGTTAGTTCTAAAAGTAAACCTTGTTTTTTCACCCTTTATTTTTTCATGTAATAATAAACACGATCTTTTTGAAAACCTTTTTTGCTATTCACTTTGAAATATAAATGTCATTTAAAGGCAAATATATAGCATTTGAGAACAACTGTATTACACCAGAGTAAGCTTAATTCATTTCCTATGACAAATGGAAAAGGGTTACTATAAATAATACTAGCAAAGCTGAAAAACCTATCAACTGCAAGAAGAAATTGTTTATCTTTTAAATGCATACGATATATTCTTAACTATTATTCCTGTAACCTAAGTTATTAAGGTTTGCAAGCTATAATGAGGGCTTTGTTATTGTAGGTTTTTAAAAAAAAGGTCTTCACTATTGGTATGTTGAGGGTTATGCATCAAGTCTGTCTTCTGGTTTAGTGTTATCTGTGCCACCGTGTCTTTTCTGTGTTTTATGAAAAGATGGGGGCGGGTGGTATTTATGTTTCTAATGTTAATTATTTTATTTCTATTTCCTTTCTTTTTTATCCCCCAGAGATGGTCAAATTACTGCAATTCTGGACCAGAAGAACTATGTAGAAGAGCTCAACAGACATCTGAAGTAAAGACTGAATAAATAACATTACTTTAATGGTGGTTTTGTTGGGGAAGAGAGGAAACGGCAAAATGATAGGCAGTGAGGATAAATTCATGCAATACTCAACCAGTATCTGTAGAATTCCTGCATGGCAAGGACTGAACTCTTGGCACTGGATAAATGGCATTTAACTCTTTTAGTAACTTTTGGTGAAAGGCAGTATAAGATCAGTATGCGATTATAACTCTAGTGATTAAGTAAAAGGATTCAGTTAAGAATTTAAAAATAGTATGAGAAGCTAGCTTGAACTGTAAACTTTCATTTAAAGTATAATAAAAAAGAATTTAAAAATATGTGACATAAATATTCTTTCAGGAGGTTCAGACACATACTTCAGAACTGATCTTGGATAAACCATTCATCACCTTAGTAACTTTAGATTATGCATATCTCTCTGGTTCCTTGCATTTCTCATTTATACGTTGGATTAATAGTATTAATCTAACCACTCTTCACCATCACTACCATCAGTTTAGCAGCTACTCACTAAGTATTTATCAGAACCATCCAAAACTTGAAACAGTCTTCTGTCTCCTGAGGAGAGCTATCCAAAAGCTATTGATATTCTCAGGTACTTCGATGTTCTTGTTAAACTAAAGACTAAATAAGTTACTGTTGAATAACTCAGAAAAAATAATATATCCACTAGTTATCATTTTGTTTGTAGCTCTCTTATAAAAAGATAGTGATTTTTAAATTAAGTAATACCTATAATATACATATATAAATCAATACAAATTTTGAGTATTCCTGGTTTCAGCTAGAAAATTTCAGAACAAATTCAGTGCATTATCTCTGAGGACCAAGCACTAATAATGATTATACTGAAGCCAAACAGAGATGTCAGTCAGGCAAAGAGGTAGTTACAGTTGACAGTGAAATATAAATATGACACTATTATTTAATCTTTCTATGTCTCAGTTTCTTCATCTATAATTGGAGATACATAACACATAGGGTTGTTGAGTTAAAGAATTTAGTAGAGTGCTTGGCGTATGCCAAGAAATTAATTCATGTAGGCTGTTGTAATTATATATAATTAAATCTTAACATTTACTGTATAGTAGATAAGCTCTTTTACTTCATTCAGCAAATGGTTACTGAATACACCCTTCAGTGCCAAGGATACAGCAGTTAACAAGATAGACACAGCCTCTTGTAAACTGTCTTAGAGCTTTCAAGTCTCCCAGGGATTGGAGACATTAAACAAACAATGATAAGTGTAATGAGTGTTTAAAAAGGGAAAATACCAGGTGTGTTCTGTTTTTCAAGATAGACATGTTTTTTTCTTCTCTTAATAGTGCTACTGTAAACAACCTTCAGGCAAAAGTGGATGCATTAGAAAAATCCAACACGAAACTGACAGAGGAGGTAAGTGTTTTGGAAATTATCTTTCTTGACTAGATTATAGAATTTCCATTTTAAGACATTAATGTACATTAGTAGAGCTAATTTTTTCTAGGAAACCTTGGAATGAAAGGACTTCACTTCTTAGTTGAGGCATATGGCCACGGACCATATAGCCTCAAATAGCTTAGTGATTTGATGGTCACCTGGTGAAAAAGAGATCACATTCTTGACATCCAATAACGGGCCCATAAATTTTTTTTTTTTATTGTACATTAGATGAAGGTTTACAGAAAAAACTAGCTTCTCACTAACCAGTTAGTACACACATGATTTTGTGACATTGGTTACCAACCCCATGACATGTCATCACTCTCCCTTCTTGACCTTGGCTTCCCTATTACCAGCTTTCCTGTCCCCTCCTGCCTTCTACTCTTTGCCTCTGGGCAGGTGTGCCCTTTAATCTCATTTTGTTTTATGGGCCTCTCTAATCTTTGGCTGAAGGGTGAACCTCAGGAGTGACTTAATTACTGAGATAAAAGGGTGTACAGAGGCCATACTCTCAGGGTTTCTCCAGTCTCTGTCGGGCCAGTAAGTTTGGTCTTTTTTTGTGAGTTAGAATTTTGTTCTACATTTTCTCTAGCTCTGTCTGGGACCCTCTATTGTGATCCCTGTCAGAGCAGTCAGTGGTGGTAGCCGGGCACCATCTAGTTGTACTGGACTCAGTCTGGTAGAGGCTGTGGTAGTTGTGGTCCATTAGTCTTTTGGACTAAGCTTCCCTTGTGTCTTTAGTTTTCTTCATTCTCCCTTGCTCCCAATGGGGTAAGACCAGTGGAGGATTTTAGATGGCTGCTCACAAGCTTTTAAGACCCCAGATGCTTCTCACCAAAGTAGAATGTAGAACATTTTCTTTATAAAGTATGTTATGCCAATTGAGCTAGATGTTCCCTGAGACCATGGTCCCTACAGCCCTCAGCCCAGTAATTCAGTCCCACAGGAAGTTTAGATGTGTCTGTGGAGATTCCATGACCTTGCCTTGTACAAGTTATGCTGGCTTCCCCAGTATTGTGTACTGTTTTACCCGTCACTAAAGTTACCACTTACCTATTGGCTATTTAGTGTTTTTCCATCCCCACCCCATCCCTTCCTTGTAACCATCAAAGATTGTTTCTTTTTGTGTACAAACCTTTTCATGAGTTTTTATAATAGTGGTCTCGTACAATATTTGTCCTTTTGTGACTGACTTATTTCACTCAGCATAATGCCCTCCAGATTCATCCATGTTGTAAGATGCTTTTCAGATTCATCATTATTCTTTATCGTCGCATAGTACTCCATTGTGTGTATGTACCAGTTTGTTTATCCATTCATCTGTTGATGGGCATCTAGCTTGTTTCCATCTTTTTGCTATTGTGAACAATGCTGCAGTGAACATGGGTGTGTGTATGTCTATTCATGTGATGGCCCTAATTTCTCTGGGATATATTCCTAGGAGTGGGATTGGTGGATCATATGGTATTTCTATTTCTGACTTTTTAAGGAAGAGCCATATCGTTTTCCAAAATGGTTGTACCATTTTGCATTCCCACTGTTAGTGCATAAGAGTTCCAATTTCCCTGCAGCTTCTCCAACATTTTTTATTTTCTCTTTTTTTGATTCATGCCAGTAATGCTGGGGTTAGTTGGTATCTCATTGTGGTTCTGATTTGCATTTCTTTAATGGCTGGTGATCGTGAGCATTTCCTCATGTGTCAGCCGCTTGCATGTCATTTTGGTGAAGTGTCTGTTCATTTCCTTTGCCCATTTTTAATTGGATTATTTGTCTTTTTGTTGTAGAGGTATTGGATTTTCCTGTAGATTTTAGAGATTAGACCTTTGTCAGATTTGTCATAGCCAAAAATTTTTTCCCAATCTATAGGTTCTCTTTTTACTCTTTTGGTGAAGTCTTTTGATGAGCATGTGTTTAATTTTTAGAAGATCCCAGTTATCTAGCTTATCTTCTGGAGTTTGAGTGTTGTTAGTTATGGTTTGTATCCTGCTAATGCCATGCATTAGGGCCTCTAGCGTTGATCCTATTTTTTCTTCTATGATCTTTATAGTTTTGGGTTTTATATTTAGGTCTTTGATCCATTTTGAATTAGTTTTTGTGTATGGTGTGAGGTATGGGTCTTGTTTCTTTTTTTTGCAGATGGACATCAAGTTTGACCAGTACCATTTGTTAAAAAGACTGTTCCCCATTTGATGGACTTCAGGTCCTTGTTGAAGATCAGTTGACTGTAGGTGGATGGATTTACATCTGTGTTCTCAATTCTGTTCCATTGTTCAATGTATCTGTCGTTGTACCAGTACCAAGCTGTTTTGACTACCGTAGCGGTATAGTAGATTCTGAGGTCAGGTAGTGTGAGTTCTCCTACTTTATTCTTTTTCTTCAATAGTGCTTTACTTATCCGAGGCCTCTTCTCTTTCCATATAAAGTTAATGATTAGTTTTTCCATCTTTTTAAAGAATGTTGCTGACATTTGGATCGGGATTGCATTGTATTTGTAGATTCCTTTGGGTAGAATTGTCATTTTCACAATGTTGAATCTACCTATCCATAAGCATGGTACGTTTTTCCATTTATGTAGCTCTCTTTTGGTTTGTTTCAGTAGTGTTTTGTAGTTTTCTTTGGATAGGTCTTTTACATCCCTGGTTAGATTTATTCCTAAGTATTTTATTTTTTTAGGGGCTGTTATAAATGGTATTGTTTTCCTGATTTCCTTTTCGTTGTTCTCTGTATTGGTGTGTAGGAATCCAGCGGATTTCTGTGTGTTTATCTTGTATCTTGCTACTCTGCTGAATCTTTCTGTTAGTTGCAGTAGTTTTCTTGTGGCGTTTTCTATGTATAGTATCATATCATCTACAAATAGGGACAGTTTAACTTCTTCATTACCAATCTGGGTGCCCTTTATTTCTTTTTCTTGCCTGATTGCTCTAGCTAGGACTTCCAGCACAATGTTAAATAGGAGTGGTGATAAAGGGCATCGTTGTCTTGTTCCTGTTCCCAAAGGGAATGTTTTCAGCCTCTCTCCATTAAGAATGATGTTGGCTGTTACTTTGGATAGATACTGTTTATTATGTTGAGAAATTTCCCTTCTGTACCTATTTTATTGAGAGTTTTTATCAGGAACGGGTGTTGGACTTTGTCAAATGCCTTTTCTGTATCAATTGAGATGATCATGTAATTCTTTTATTTATGAAGTGGATTACGTTATTTGATTTTCTAATCTTGAACCATCCTTGCATAATTGATATGAATCCCACTTGGTTGTGGTGTATTTTTGTTTTAATATGATGCTGAATTCTATTGGCTAAAAGTTTTTTGAGAATTTTTGCATCTATGTTCATGAAAGGTATCAGTCTGTAACTTTTTCTTTTTGTGGTGTCTTTGCCTGGTTTTGGTATCAGGGTTATGCTGGCTTCATAGAATGAATTTGGAAGCATCGCTTCCTTGTCTATGTTCTGAAATAGTTTGAGTAGTACTGTTGTAAGCTTTTCTCTGAATGTTTGGTAGAATTCTCCAGTGAAGCCATCTGGGCCAGGGCTTTTTTTTGTTGGGAGTTTTTTTTAATTACCTTTTCAATCTCTTCACTTATTATGGGTCTGTTCAGATTTTTGTGTTAGTTTAGGTAGGTAATGTGTTTCTAGAAATTTGTCCATTTCCTCTAGGTTTTCAAATTTGTTGGAGTTTAGTTTTTCATAGTACTCCGTTATGATCCTTTTATTTCAGTTGGGTGTGTTGTAATGTCGGCCGCATCATTTCTTATTTGGGTTATTTGTGTCCTCTCCTGTTTTTCTTTTGTCAGTTTGGCCAATGCTTTGTCAATTTTGTTGATCCTTTCAAAGAATCAACTTTTGGTTTTGTTGATTCTTTCTGTGTTTTTTTTTTTATTCTCTGTTTCATTTATTTCTGCTCTGATCTTTATTATTTCCTTTCTTCTGGTGGCTGTGGGCTTCTTTTGCTCTTCTCTTTCTGTTTGTTAGCGTTGTGTAGTTAATGTTTTGATTTTGTCCCTTTCTTCTTTTTTGGTGTGTGCATCTGTTGGTATAACTTGACCTTTGAGCACTGCCTTTGCTGTGTTCCAAAGGTTTTGGTATAATGTGTTTTCATTCTCGTTTGATTCTAGAAATTTTTTGATCCCACCTTTGATTTCTTCTATTACCCAGTGGTTTTTAAACAGGGTGTTATTCAGTTTCCATGTAATTGATTTTTTTCCTTGCTCTTCCATTTGTTAATTTCTACTTTGATGGCATTGTGATCAGAGAAGATACTTTGTATTATCTCAGTGTTTTGGATTTTTTTGAGGGTTGTTTTGTGGCCTAAGATGTGGTCTATTCTGGAGAACATTCCATGTGCATTGGAAAAGAGTATATACTTTGCAGCTGTTGGGTGGAGTGTTCTATATATATAGGTCTATGAGTTCAGGTTGGCTGACTGTGGCATTTAGAGCTTCCATATCTTTGTTGAGTTTCTTTCTAGATGTTATGTCCTTTACCAAGAGTGGTGTGTTGAAGTCTCTTTTCAGTGCTGTTAGAGTCTGTTTTATGTATTTTGGAGCCCTGTCATTGGGTGTGTAGATATTTATTACGGTTATGCCTTCATGATGGATTGTCCCTTTAATCATTATATAATGCCCTTCTTTGTCTTTTATGGTGGATTTTGTTTTAATGTCTATTTAGCTTAGTATTGCCACTCCTGCTCTTTTTTGGTAGTTGTTTGCTTAATATATTTTTTTCCATCCTTTGATTTTTAATAAATTTATGTCTTTGTTTGTAAGGTGTGTCTCTTGTAGACAGCATATTGATGGACCCTGTTTTTTTATCCATTCTGTCACTCTCTGTCTCTTTATGGGTGCATTTAGGCCATTTATGTTCAGTGTAAGTACTAATAGCTGTGAGTTTATTGCTGTCATTTTGTAGTGGTTTTGTTTGTGGTGCTGACATTTTCTTTGTTCTTCTTATTCTCCTGTGCTGAATTTCTTTTGT